TGATGAAGTTTAAGTTCATGAGTATTATATTCTATTTAAGCACAAGTTTGTAGTGAGAAGTTTAGAGAGAAGACTTAGTAGCATCTAAAAAAAAAAAAAACAAAAAAAGAAGAAAGCCAACACACAAAAGAGTTTATTAATTTCTACTCAAATGTTTCTAGTTGCTTAGTAACTGGGGGTTAGGCATGAAACCCATGTCAATTTTCACGTCAAACGGTGACTTGAAATATGACTATGCAAAGTACTTTGAGTTTATGACTTGTTGAGTAATCAGGTGCTTTCATCACAAATGTTAGTATTCGCGTCAAAAAACAAGTGATAACTTAGGGAAGAATGTGTTGTATGACTGAAGAAAAAAAAAAGAAGAAGAAGAGAAGTTGAATGTTTTGGGGCCTTTGTTACTTGAGTAAGTATGTTCTTAGGGATGTCTCTTCACCTAATGCCCTAAAGCCAACTGGTTTGGGAGTCATTGACAAAAAGCTCGTTACATGGGTAACTTAGAAAGCCTAAGGAAACTCGACCTATGAAAAAAAAAATTGAGGGGAGAAAAAAAAAAAGATAGTAATAAGTGCTAAGATGTGAAGGTCTAAACTTGAAACTTCTTACTATGAATTTCCACACACACTAAGTGCTCATAGGCTAAATCTTTTAACAAGTGGTGTGAAGAATAAGATAGAGTATTTTACTTTAAGTGAGCATATGAGAACTTTTGAATATTTGAGACTTTGCCTCTAATTGAACTTTAATTCCTAAATTTTCTTTGCATACATATCATATAGTTGCATTTTTGCATTGGGATTTTGTGGGTAGATCTGCTGCAAACCCTCACGAGACACAACTCGTCCACTAGGGTGACCTAGGGGTTTAAAGGCTTGTTGCACATGCTAAGTACAATCGTGATTCCTACGAAAGTAAGTTAGATTTTATTTTTGTTTCTTTTGTCTTTTTATTTTACTCAATGACAAGTAAAACTTAAGTTTGGGGGAATTTGATGAGTTGAAATTGTATACATATTAATGTGAAATTGTTGCCTTGATATTATTGATATTTGGATGAGTTTTATGAGACTTTACATGATTTTCATTCTTTGTGCAGAAAAGGATTTGAATGCATAAAATAAGAGTTTTTAAGATTTATTGAATATTCTCTAAAAGTTGAGGGATTGAATTGCAAGAAGAAGGGCGGCCGTTTGGAACCTAAATGAATGAATCTTGAGTTTTAGGATCTAAGTGCTCATAGTACAAAATTTGGAGGACTAGATCTGCTATTTTACCATTGAAGAAATTGCAAAAGGAGGCCAACAACCGACACGGGTGTAGTGTCGACACCATGCGTTAAACGTCAAGAATCAGATTCTGTTTCCTATTTTGTGTCAACACGTAATCCACAAAGTGTCAGCACCATGCGATCAGCATCCAAAATTCAGTTTCCTATTTCTATTCCAAGTCCTACTTCTATTTCAATTAGGGTTTTTAAAATCCTATAAATACCTATCCAAATTCAGAATTAATAAAGTTTTTGAGAGGCTAATGACAGCCCTTTTTTGGGCATTATTGGAGATCAAGATTGAGGTTCCATTAACAATAAAAGATTAAGGAATTCAATTTTCTCAAATAGGGTTTTGTTTTTCTTTGAGTTTTTATCTATTGTTTGATATTTAAATATTCATAACTTTGATTTCATATTTTATTATTTTTATTATGAACTGATTTATTCTACTAGGGTTACGATATAGCCTAATCAATTCAATATGGATTTAGTGATTTTATGCTTTCAATTAAAGTTATTTGCATGAGGAGTTTATATTATTGAACTTAATGCATTGGAAGTCTGATCACCTTTTAATTGATTTAGTGATTTATGCATGAACTTGAGAAATAATTGCGTAGATTAGACCAATAATAATATAAACCGTGTGCTAGACTATGAGAACAAGAGGTAATTAGCTCACATGTGGTAG